ATAGAGTTTGTGTGAGTGTTTCATTACACATCTTGCACTCTGGTTTGATTCACTGCCAACAGCCTACATGTACATGTACTAGAATCTACAGACTGAAAAAATACTGAATTATTTATATACACGTATATATACATTGTATATAGATACATGATATACCCATAGTCTACAGTAGAATATTTATATAGATACATGATATACTCATAGTCTACAGTAGAATATTTATATAGATACATGATATACCCATAGTCTATAGTAGAATATTTATATAGATACATGATATACATGTACCCATAGTCTATAGTAGAATATTTATATAGATACATGATATACATGTACCCATAGTCTATAGTAGAATATTTATATAGATACATGATATACACATAGTCTATAGTAGAATATTTATATAGATACATGATATAGTCTGTTGTAGAATATTTATATAGATACATGATATAGTCTGTTGTAGAATATTTATATAGATACATCATATACTCATAGTCTACAGTAGATTATTTATATAGATACATGATATACCCATAGTATATAGTAGAATACTTATATAGATACATGATATACACATAGTCTATAGTAGAATATTTATATAGATACATCATATACTCATAGTCTACAGTAGATTATTTATATTTTATCTTAAAGATACATTACGTAAGAGCTAAATTTGTCTGTTGCAGTTCATTTTCTGGCTGTAAATGTTATATAAATAATTAATTAGACATTTATTCACATAGTCTACAGTTGAATACATGTATAGATAGTATATAGATACAAATGTACATACTCGTAGGAGAAATACAATTGAATATTATATTCATAGTCATAGACCAATCTGATTACAATGCACATCTGTATTTCGTTTTGGTTTTTTTATACTTTCGATGTCCACTTCCACATGAAGATCTGACAAGTTGTACTCGAAGGTTGTGACAGAGGTCATATTAGCGACTTTTGGCCCTATGATTTCAGACATTGATCAATCAATCTATCAGCGTTGATGTTTCTAGTGGTTTACCCACAGTTCCGTGCATCCCACGCCAAGCAGGTGGTTTCATTGGCTAATCCTTCACATCAAGCAGAAGGCCTGTCATATAACATCTCTTCCAGATCCTAGTGTAGTAAAGACAAGTAAAACGAAATTTTTAACCATAAAAAACGAAACGGAATAGGATCTGTGTTTTGATACAATACAATACAATACAATACAATACAATATTTATATGTACATATCTCTTAAGACATGGATAAGTCTGATCTTTTTATTCTGTATATATATCATATCATCAACATACACAAACAATGCTACATATGAGTCTTGCATTAGAATATATCTATATTTATATATTATATAAATATACCATGGTGGTAGTGTCAGTGATAACAGATGGATTTATAAACAGTATTGTCAGGTTAAAACAGCAATAGACATGGTTAACTGCCATACAGACTCAATATCCTCGAGGTTCCCATGTCTGTTGGGGGTTTGGATGGCTGAATGGTTAGCGTGTGCACGCTGCATCAGACATAAGTTCTGTCATTGAATCGACTGGTATGGTTTAGATTCCCCGGTTGCATGTGACAAGGAGTAGGATCGCCTGTCCAACCTCCAGGGTTTTATCCTGGTCTTTCAGTTTCCTCCCACTGCTAAAGAACCCTACGTGCAAGCGAATTATTGAAATAAATTTGAACCATACCGGTATGTTAGTCCCGAAATGACCTAGTTTGTGTATAGTGGATGTTAAACCCCATCACTCTATCTCTGATGTATAAATGACGATCTAATTATAATAGAATCTTTGTTTTATTCAGATAAAGATTTTAAATTTAAAAATCTGAAACAGATGAATGGTCTTTATTCATTCTGTGATCAGGTGGCCGAGAAAGTTCATCAGGATTTTTCCGACGTGGACGTGGTTACCCCTTGTCAGTAGTGCTGGACTGAGGGCCTGACAAGGACAGCTGTCTAGTCGTTCAGATGGGATGAAAAACTGAGGACCCGTGTATACATTGGCGTGCACATAAAAGATCCCTTGGCAGTAGGCTATAGTGCCTTTGCCTGCACACTGTATGGTGTATGCCCATCTTCATCAGCCCAGTATAGGAGCAGAACAGTAGGACGTTAAACCCCATTTCATTTCTTTTGGTACATGTATTCTGTATCAAGGTACTGTACAGCCTACATGGCTGTAATCAGTAAATAAGCTAACCATGATTGTAGAACTATCTACATGTATCAAATAATATGCCGTCGTGGAGTGTAATACACTGTTAGTCTATATAGCATCTATTATTAGGAATGTATAAAACATGCTGGCACATTAGTCACCCACAACTTTCACTGTTTGTATAAATACCTGCATGTATTGACTACAGGTTAATATTAGAGGCTTTACTGATTAACATTTTCCCTGGCAAGGAATCTGGTCAAATGACAAATGATATTGAGTTTCTGCTGTTATCTAGATTATAAACACAACTAGCTGAAAGTACTATTTTAATTTAAAAATTGTAGTTATTAAGCACATCGACGGTGAAGTGTCAAAAGGGTGTATCTTGGGAAATTAGTCAAATACACTTTGTTGCATTTTTAAAATCTCCCAATTAATATGCACATTTCCGTCTAAGCTGTGTATCTCTACGCCAATTAGAACTGTTCAGGGTATCATGTATCTTGATTTGTGGAAATTTTGAAATGCAAAAGGTTCTATTTCTTAATCTTTAGAAATTCTTAGATACACCCTTTTGACACTTCACCCACGACATTCAAATATGAAGAGTCAGCCAAAAAATAACCCATGGTGATCATAAGGTCTGTCATTGAGTCAAATGGTGTGGTTTTGATCTCATGCTGTATACTATGTATGTTAGTCCCAAAATGACCCTATATGTGTTGAGTTGCTGTTTCTCTATATATACATGTACCTCAAACCCCAAACAGTTAATTATGGTTAATCATATGCTTTTTTGTTTATCTCTTCTTCAAATTCTAATTGTGACAGATCGATGGGGGGGGGGGGGGGCTCTGTTTTTTGTCTGTCTATCACCTACTAGAGTTATACTCTCTTTTCCTCTCTCTTTCTTTCTCTATCCCCCCCTCTCTCTCTCTCTCTCTCTCTCTCTCTCTCTCTTTCTTCTCTCCCTCTCTTTCTCTCTCCCTCCATCTCTTCTCTTTCTCCCTCCATCTCTTCTCTTTCTCCCTCCATCTCTTCTCCTTCAGTCTCTTCCTTCCTCTTTCTCCTACTCCCTTTCTCTCCCACCTTTCTCTTTCATCCTATACCACTCATACTCCCAATGCAAAACATGATATACATTTATTTTATGTTCAGTCGAGGTTAAATTCTCTCTGTCTCTCTCTCTCTCTCTCTACCTGTACATGTAGACCTGTAAAACTGTAACCATAAGTTACCTGTGATATGTTTAGCTACATGTACCTGTATTAAGATCTGGTAATGTAATCTAACACTGGAACTCCCACCTCTGTATTTACTTGATGTAGATTGAATAGATGCACTGCCAACCTACCCTGTGTCTATAAATAGAATCAGTAACGGTTTATCTTTAGCTGATGAAAGATACTATGTTATCTTAATCTTATGAGGAGAGTTTATATTACCACCAGCAAGACCTATTACAATAAAAAAAGAAACCCAAAAAACAAACAAAAACAGTGCATAATTACTAGTGTTCAATCTTGGTCTAATATTTTTTTCTGCCAGTTTTTCGTTTTACTTTTATTTTATTACCATATTTTTTTAGACCAGGAACTGGTGGCTAACTGCTACTCATTTTGTTCTTCTTCTTGGGGTGACGCTACTCGAAGGTTCGCTCAATTGATCAACATGAAAATTGGCATGCTTCTTCTTTGAACAATTCTGCATCGATTTGGTGAATTATATTTTTGACTTTCATTCCTTGTCCATAGTATGATCATACTTGTTTTTTTCCGCCCACCAAAATAATGTCTTAGTAATTCTTATAAATTTTTTTTATCAAGATACATGTACATATAATACAAAATAAGTACAATTTGCAACTCCGGTCTTCCAGTTTCCTCCCACTGCTAAAGATCCCTACGCGCAAGCAGATTATTGAGATGAAATAGAACCATATGTTAGTCCCGAAATGACATAGTCTGTGTTGAGTGGACGTTAAAATGCATCTCTCTCTCTCTCCCCCCCCCCCCCTTTATTACCTATATGCCTTTTAAAGGACTGTCCACAATATCAAATAAAATCAATGTTTTGAGGCACTCTCGTAGGTTTTGGTACTCACGTTATTGCCTTGGTTCTCCATATAACAATCATAATGTGGAACTTGTTCTGTACTACATGTACATGTACATATACCAACTATATCATTACACTGCCAGTGGTGCTGACATACATGTAGGTCAGACCTTGAATCTATTAAAACATGCCATGTAAAGGATTTATCATAATCCTTGACAAGAAATTAAAAGTTATTTATATGACCTTTTCGAATTAACAGAAGTGATTCATTTTTAATCGCTTTTGGCTTCCTCAGTCTATACATGTAGTATGGTCTTTAAGTGTTTAATATACAAAAGGGGGGGGGGGGGTCTAGTGGTTTTAATACATGCACATGAAATCACAAGGTCTGTCATGAAGTCAAGTGCTTGGTTTCGATTCCCCGCCTGTTCATGACCAGAATTAGGATCCTTGTCCAACCTCGTGGGTATTCTCCTTCTCCTCCTGTTTCCTCCCACTGCTAAAGACCACTACGCGCAAGGCAAATGATGTGAGCAATGCTCAGACCTTATGATCTAAAGCAAGTGCGTTAGACCCCCCCCCCCCCAATCCCTCCCTCCCTAATCCTCTCCCTCCCTACTCCACCACCTCCACTCCCTCCCTACTCCACCACTCCCCCACTCCCCCACTCCACTGAATCAGTGGTGTAATTATGTATTGGCAAATTTTAAATATTCTTAATTAATTAAACGTAATATAATGAATTTTATTTTTCAGTCATGGCATAAGTTATGTTTTAAATGTGATACATGTGGTACTACGTTAAATATGAAAAATTACAAAGGATACAATAAAAGACCATATTGTAACACGTAAGTATTAATATATTCTACTTCCCTACCCCATACTGGCCTGTCTAACCTCGTGTATTTTCTCTGTGTTCACCTGTTTCCTCCCACTGCTAAAGACCTGCTACGAGCTAGCAAATTATTGAAATAAAATTGGACCATATGTTAGTCCCAAAATGACCTGTCATTGAGTCAACTGGCGTGGTTTCAATTCTCTGTTTGTATGTAAAAAGGAGTAGGGTCGCCTGCCCAACATTGTGGCTTTTCTCCGGGTCCTCTGGTTTCCTTCCACTGTTAAATACACCTACGCGCAAGTGAATTATTGAAATAAAATTGAACCATATGTTAATCTGAAAATAACCTAGTTTGCGTCGAGTAGATGTTAAACCCCATTTCTCTCTCTCTCTCTCACTTTCCATATAAATGGTGTTGTGTGTTTTATCGTGATCACCTCTGATTTCCGGTTGTGGTTTTGATCCCTGGTGTGAGCGTATGTGGCTTGGAGATAGGGGCGCCTTCTCAACCTTGTGGGTTTACTCCGGGTACTCCCGTTTCCTCCCTCATGAAAGACCCCTGAGCGTGCGCTAAGATACATGTAATGAAAATAAAAAAAAAAGACAATTTGTCTGCGATATCACCTACGTTGGAAGCGGACGTTAAACACTAACAACAACAACAACATTATCGTGATCAATCGCTAAATGCCACTCAAGGATTATATTTGTGAGTACAATACCCATGGGTACCCTAGTACCTTTATCTGTGTATAACCACAGATTTCCTACCCTAGCACCTTATCTGCTAATAACCATGGATACCCTATCACAAAAAATAAACACTTTACATATTCATATTTACAAATGTGGAAGATCCCTTGGCAGTTTGAATGCTGCTATTTTGTGTTATGTGCATGTTGTTTGTAGGGGGCCACGCTGGCTAAGTGAGTAAGATGCTGACTCGCGAATATACATTGATAAATCTGATTGAATAAAAGCTGAGATAGATTATCTAACGTTGATATTTTGAATTTGTTTTCTTAATCAGATGTTAAATAATCAATGTTAGTACATACATTTGTATTCGGGTGGATTAATCTGTGAAAAATGTGAATGATGCATTGAGATATTAAATATCTACATCTATTCTCTACCAGTATATTAAATATCCACCCTCCAATCGGATCTGTGCCAGTATATTAAATAACCACCCTCCGATCTGTACCAATATATTAAATATCTACCCTCCAATCTGTGCCAGTATATTAAATATCCACCCTCCGATCCAAGTGGGAGTTTGGATGGGCAGATGGTTGGCGCATGCGTGTTGGGCATCATGGGTTTTCTCCGGGTCCTCCGGTTTCCTCCCACTGCTAAAGACCCCTACTTGCAAGCGAATTATAGAAATAAAATTGAACCATGTGTTAGTCCCCAAATGACCTAGTTTGTGTCAAGTGAACGTTAAACCCCATCCCTCTCTCTAGTCTCCAATCCACGTTAGATAATATCCATATGTACATCTATTCTGTGTCGTCAGTATATTATCCACCCTCTGATCTATGCCAGAAAATTAAAATATTTGATTTAAATTACAGACATTACCCAACAACAAAATTTACACCCGTTGCAGAAACACCAGAAATGAAAAGAATCGCTGAAAATACGAAAATTCAGAGTAACGTAAGTTTATTTCTGTTATCGTAAATTAACACATTAACCAATCGTACTATATGTTTCTTATTGATTTTATTAACCTTGAGATTCATTGATGATCATCTTTCTTCTGATTTAAAACCCAAAGGTACTGACAAAAAATACTTTCACTGAAAGTAAGGTTTTAAGGCTGGATCTCGGCAATATGGTCAGGAAGGGGTAGAAAGAAATCCTTGTAAAGCTGGATCTCAGCGATATTTAGTCGGGAAGATGCAGAAAGAAATCCTTGTAAATAATCACCCCAAAAAATCACCCAAGCAACAAACTGTGTAAAAAGTTAAATGATTTAATCCAGGACGCGTTTTTTTTCTTACTTCTTGATGAACAAAACCCCACAAGTCTTAGAAAAGCTTGGTCTTTATATCAGTTTCTGATATTGTTCAGATGTTTAGGTTAAACTTGTTTAAAAACGCTGGCAATCGTTCCGCCAGTTTAACTTTGTCGTCTGAACACAAAGTTGAAACAAAGTATCTCTACAGAAACAGAAACGATTTTGAAAATCTGCTATCATCAGAAGTTACCAGAGCTTGTATGAATCATTGAGGTATACTTTTGGAGACAGAAACGATTATCAAGGAATCAGAATGTTCGCCACCTTTCTGAATAATGATTGATGACTGGATTATAGTTGAAGCCATTCCTGTTTGTAGCAAGCGATTATATTTGAAGCCATTCGAGTTTGTAGCAAGTAATCTATCATTAGGGATAAAGTGTTGTAAGGTTCCTGGATGAAGAAAGGCAGAGACAGCGTAACAAAAGAAACAGTATTTTCTGGACAAAAGAAGTTTAAATAATGAATACCGTCAAGTTTTGTTTTTAGAGAAACAGGAATGAAATGGATTCCAGCAAGTTGTACACTATCACTGAACAAGGAGAGATGATGATAAATTTTATTTGATGAAAAGTTGAGATATAAAGGGGAAGAGATTTATAAACAATGTTGAAGGGTTTGTTCAGTTTTGAAATACAGAGTTGGATGTGATTCTATAGCAGTCGTATAATGTTAATAGTCACGATAACATGAAAATCAATGTGTTTGTTATCATTTTTTTATGCAGGGTTTCTTAATCATTAAAATACACATGGGACACTTCGTCCTTTCACAATCAGACATGGTGATGATTTCAAGGGTGGATCCAGAGAACAGGGATAAGGGGGTTGCACTGATCTTGGGATTGTGATCGTGCTTACTTGCGCAGCAGCCGGCAGCAAGAACTACTGGTTTAAATCGAAGCTGTCGTTGTACATTATGATCTGTGACTTACATAATTAAATCGTCATACGCGTGTGCCGACCAATGCGCCCCCTTGGATCCAGATAGAGAGTGGGCGGGGGCAGCGTTCGCCCTTAGATTTCATAGAAATGTACATGATTGTGGATACATGATGCACATGTTCCTGGTCACATGATGCACATGCGTGATCGTGTAATCTGTATTTTCAGTTGTTTGAATCACACAGTACCATCGTTATATAGAAACGCATCAACGGCTTGATACCTCGTGTAGATGTGGAATTCCATTTTGATTTACCATTTCGGTTGACCGTGTCGCTGGCCAAAACAAATTGGTTCTATACTCTCATCAATAGAATAACAGTGTCTCCGATTGGCTTATAAAAAGGGTTCATTCAACAATGTACGCTGGACACGGACAGATGAGCATATATTCCAGCGAATTGATCACCGGCGTAAAATATTCGGCCGAAAATATCTAACAATCCAGATACGGGCATACATTGTACAGACAGTATTTTCGAGTGATTTTAAAAATAGCTGCAATTGGGCTAAAAAAATATGCTTGTCTGTCCTAGGCTTTAATGAAGTGACTGACCCAATACAACAATAAAATCTAGTAACTGTTCTGATTATAATTGTTTATTACCAAATATATACATATACCTGTAGGTTTTACAAAACAAAACAATAGTTTATATTAAAAGTGTTGATTATGAAGATAAAGACTTAAACAATAATCTTTGATATCATGTGATTGCCTCCTACTAAACATTGCCGTACATAATAATATTTTAACTTTATAACAGATTGAATTAGTTGGCTAATATTATATTTTATATTTCAGGGGCTTTCCCTTTATTTCTTTAATTGTTTCGCTTGTAGAACTCTGATAAAATGAAATTATTATTGATTATATATTTTCAGCTATGCATGTAGATTTATATAGAATATATAGTTGTAATCTATAAATAATCTATAATTAAATTGATTAATTTATTGATTATTAACAGTATTATACAAGGGTATTTATATATGATTAGTTTTTCAGCTCCTAACTAAAACATACATGTAACATAGTAATACATACATTTGGATGAATATAATTACATTATTTTACACATAGTTTTTAGGTTTTTGGATCTGAAACCTTTAGTATTTGGACTGTCTGATACTACATTTCCCTTTTACCCATCAAACTTTTTCCTCTAACCCAATCAAACTGTTTCCTCTAGTCCATCCCCCCAAGCCCATCAAACTGATCCCTCTAGCCCAACAAACTGTTCCCTCTAGCCCCTTAAACTGTTCCCTCTAGCTCTTCAAACTTTAAGATGAAGTGTTTGTTAGTCCTGTTCTTAGTTGTGTTTTCCAAATGGGTTTTAAGAAATTCAAATTTTAAAAAAATTAACCACAGAATGTCATCCATATATACACATCTTACTCTCCATCTAATTATTATTAAAAATATCAGTGGCCTTGAAACAGAAAGGAAATTTTCAATTGTCAAAAAAAAAAAAATGGTCCCATTACAAAATAGCTCTGCCCCTGACTTCCGACTTTTGATTTGAACATCCTATTGGAGTGTAACATTATTATAAAAGCGAGTCAGCATCCTATTGTCGTTGAGTGTGGTTGTATATACACCAGCCAGCATCCTATTGTCGTTGAGTGTGGTATATGTATGTACATGTATATACCCCAGTCAGCGTCCTACTGCCGTTGAGTGCTGTACATGTGTGATTGTGTGTGTGAATAGATGGTTAGTGCTAAATGATAAGGTCGGCTCAATTTTTCGTCACAGGTCACGAGATGTAGTCAAGGCTAGCACTAATCCCAACCCTAACCCTAGTCCTGGACCTAGCCAAATTCTTAAACCTAACCTACAATCTCGCCAACATTTGCATGCCCTACCCTTATTTACATCTCATCGACCTTGACAAGAATTGAGCTGGCCATAACAAATAGATTTACACCAGCCAGCATCCTATTAAAAGAGTATAAAAATCTGCTATAATACCCAGTATATGATATAACATCAAGTTGTAATACCAGAAGTATTTAAATTATATATACCAGATGTTTATTAATGTATAAATAGATATATATTTGTCAGGTTTTAAACCTGCTTATCTGGGTCATATTATAAATTATATCTGATATCACAGATTATCTAATAGTGGTTAAAAGTGGTTGATATTTAACATAAGTAATAAATAACTGTTTATTTCCCTGAGTATAATAAAGGATGTTGGGGGGGCCATATTGGCGCGGAATAGACGTTATTTTCTGGGAATGGTATATCTAATATCCCAGATAACCTAATAGTGGTTAGAAGTGATTGATATTTAAAACAAAAATATAACTGTTTAATTACCTCACTATAATTGATATATAGTTAGTTTAAGGACGTTGGGGCCCACAGTGGAGCGGTATGGCCATTAATGGCCGAGAATGCTTCTTGGAATTTGTCCGTCTGGGTTTTGGAGCAGGATGGAAGACCTGGCAAGGAACAGAATCTAATCATTTGGATGGGACAAAAAACAAGGACACTTTATACACCATTGGTGGCATGTTAAAGATCCTCTGAAAATGGAGGGGTTGGGTGGCCAAATGATTAACGTGTGCAACTGGCATGGTTTCGATTCCCTGGTTGTATGTGATGAGCAGTAAGGTCGCCTGTCCAACCTCGTGGGTTTTCCCCGGGTTCTCAGGTTTCCTTCCACTGCTAAAGACCCCTTCGTGGTGTCGAGTGGACGTTAAACTCTCTCTCCCTCCCCTGAAAATGAAACAAAAGTAAGGTCATGTCTGAAATCTTGTCATTACACATGTAACCAAAATCTATTATATTAGTCTCAAAACCAAATTTTGTGCTGAACCTAAATCCCTAAAATCCCTAAATCCCTAAAAATGTTTAAATTATGAGTACAATCACTGACTATATTGTTATTGACACAGGCTCCTGTCACTTCATGCAGATCTAGGTTTTCACTTAAGAACATTAGATTGACTTCAAAGATTGCTTTCAACATTGCTTTCATATTTTAGTAACTGGTTTTATACTTTGTACATTTGGTACAGGGATACCATACATCACACATTCTTGAATGTTTTTTTCACCTATTTTTTATTACCTGAGATGTCCTCGAATGTCACCTTTGTATACTATAATGTTCATATATCAAGTAGCTTTTTTAATAAGCAGGGGGGTTGGATGACTGAATGGTTAGCGTGCGCGCTCTGTATCATAAAGTCTGTCATTGAGTCGACTGGCGTGGTTTCGAATCCCCGGTTGTACGTGGCAAGGAGTAGGGTCGCCTGTCCAACCTCGTGGGTTTTCTCCAGGTCCTCCGGTTTCCTCCCACTGCTAAAGACCCCTACGTGCAAGCGAATTGTGTAAATAAAATTAAACCATATGTTAGTCCCGAAATGACCTAGTTTGTGTCGAGTGGACGTTAAACCCCATTTCTCTCTATCTCTCTCTTTTTTAATAAGCTTATAAACGTAGATATCAAATGTTTTCATTTTTTTTGACCTGACATAAATTACACATAAATATAAAGTACTTTTATATATTTTAAGAAGAACTGCAGTGGCTCAGTGAGTAAGGCACAGACTCGCTACCTGACATTAACCTAATCCTGTGTCCATTTTTACCCTCATGGCACACTGTGTATACAGGTGACAATTCTATGGAATACAATTACAGATCATTATTGACCAACGTTTCGACTAGACTTCTGGTCATTATCAAGCAATGCTCAGTAATAAGCAGTGATTGTATTCCATAGAATTGTGACCTGTGTATATTCCAGTTCAATTACTAAATGCCATTGAAACCATTTAGCACACTGTATGGTGTATGCCCGTCTTCATTAGCCCGAATGGAGCAGTATGTTAAGCCCGAGTGTAATTTTATTTAGATATATTTAAGAAGATAAGACATATTTAATTTCTTTATGACCCAAACCTATAACCAGCTGTAAACGTTAAAACATTAAAGTAATCGTACCCATCTTAATATAAGACTTGATCTCACTTTAACTAGGTACATCTTATCAAGACCTTCAAGTAATAATACCCTGCATATTTCGACACTAATTTCGATTGGCTATTGACCCAGCTGGGGACCTCTCTGATTCCTTGATAGAAAATATCATCGCGAATACCAAGTCTAGTGCTTTCCAGCTAAAATGTCTACTTGTGATAATAGAATTGCATAGTTCAAGGTTCGTTTACTGTCAAGGTTTCCGTGGAGGTCGCCATGTTTGATTTGAGTGTGTCTGTGTCACAAACTCTGATTGGACAACGCTATTGTTCACTTGTCTGTGGTAAAGGGAGATAAGGTGCTTATAAGTTTGGGAATTACAGACTAATCTAGCAACAGCTAGATGTTGTAAAACTCGCGGTCGTTTGTCCAGGAACATATAATGTACTAGGGTGAGTAGGTACAAACATGTATAATAGTTTGATTAAAAAAAGAGGGGTTGGATGGTCGAATGATTAGCACATGCGCATTGTATCATAAGGCCTGTCATTGAGTCAACTGGTTTGGTTTTGAATCCCCGGTTGTACGTGACAAGGAGAAGGGTCGCCTGTCCAACCTCGTCTGTTTTCTCTGTGTCCTCCGGTTTCCTCCCACTGCTAAAGACCCCTACGTGCAAGCAAATTATTGAAATAAAATTAAACGATATGTTAGTCCCGAAATGACCTAATCTGTGTCAAGTGGACGTGAAACCCCATTTCTCTCCCTCTCTGATAAAAAAACCAACCTGTGTTATTAATCCGTGATGAACAGATTGACGCATTACGGATTGGGATTAAAATGTTTAATTTTAGGAATTTGAAGAAATGTCACACAACAGACAATATTCTCCCCAGTCTGCCCAGTCTCGGCCACGGTTGAGCAGTCGGGACAAGTGCCTGTCACTGTTTTACCTCTCTCGGCACGGGAGAGAACACAGGACAAATGCCTCTCTGGGCACAGTTGAGAAGACGGGACAAATGGTAGTCGTACCATGATTTGTTGGGGCATCTGTTTCATTGCACACATAGAAAACGTTTTGTCTCAACTGGCGGACATATTGATATGAGGAGAAGTTATTTGAGTCAGATATTTAATCATTAAAATGAATTGTGTTAGGTACTTCATGACTCGGTTATCATGTAGTGGTACTCTATTTTAGAATAGGTTATCATGTAACCTTACTCTATGATAGACTAGGTTATCATGTAATGGTACTCTATGATAGACTAGGTTATCATGTGACGGTACTCTATATAGACTAGGTTATCATGTAACCTTACTCTATGATAGACTAGGTTATCATGTAATGGTACTCTATGATAGACTAGGTTATCATGTGACGGTACTCTATATAGACTAGGTTATCATGTAACCTTACTCTATGATAGACTAGGTTATCATGTAATGGTACTCTATGATAGACTAGGTTATCATGTGACGGTACTCTATTTTAGACTAGGTTATCATGTAACCTTACTCTATGATAGACTAGGTTATCATGTAATGGTACTCTGTGATAGACTAGGTTATCATGTGACGGTACTCTATATAGACTAGGTTATCATATAACAACAAACTTAAAATACAAAAAAACAAAATAGTTATTGATAGTTCAAAATGTTAAATAAATTTATACTTGAATCCTCCAAGAAAATTTACATAAAGCTGATAAAAGATGAATATATATTTTCCCAAGATAAATTTATTTAAGGAGAAACTGTGTATTTCTGTTAGCATAATTCACTCAGACTTCGTCGGTGTCTGCATGCTATACAACACAGTGTATTATTAAAGCTGTTACATATTATATATGCGTCTCGCTATAAGATGACAGTAGTCTGTTAATGCCAACATCAGTTTATATAAACAATAATTTATACTCAGATAAAGATTAAGGAATGGGCTAGGCCTACATGTATAGTGCCAACATCAGTTCTATGATGAAATCACTTGGTGTTTTGTCTTTTTAAAAAAATAATATTTTATTGTTATTCTCATAAAAGGATTGAGGTACAATCTAGGCCTATGTTATCTTTCTTCTTGGCGTATACATGTATATGAAGCATAGGATTCACTGTGTATTGAATTAGAAAGTGCTAAACCGCAATACTTGACACTTCATCTGAGTTGAAGTATTTCATACATTTACCAGATTCCAGAAACAATTCATCTCATATTGCACAGAAAAAAACTTATTTATTTGTATTAGAATAACAACATTAATGTATTTATTATTTCAGTTATGGGGGGCGGGGGGGGGGGGGGTGGATGGCCGAATAGTTAGTGTGTGAATGGATCATAAAGTCTGTCATTGAGTTAACTGGCATGGTTTCAATTCCCAGGTTGTACGTGAGGAGTAGGATCACTTGTACAATCTCCTGGGTTTTCTCCAGGTCATCCGGTTTCCTCCCACTGCACAAGCGAATTATTGAAATAAAATTGAACCATATGTTAGTCCCAAAATGACCTCTCTCTCTCTCTCATTATAAAGAAGAATTACTGCTGTTCTACTCAAACAATTAAAATAATTTTGGGCCTTGATTTTTAGAGATTTTGATAAACGAAATTTATTATTTCTATTGAAATGTTTGCCAACAGGTACAGTATCATGAAAGTTTTGAAAAATCTAAAGGAACATATCAATTTGTGGCAGATAATCCGGAATTACTTCGACATCGACAGAATCAGCTCAACTCTAGTTTGGTACAGCTTAATCTATTTTTAGATTGTTCTTCAGAGTTATTTCCCCTTTCCACCACCCACATTCCCCCCAACTGTTTGATTGAATTTGTTGCCTAATTGGTTATGATTGTGAATTTTATACACCCAAATTGAATTGTTGTATATTGTTGTCACTCCTGTCTGTCTGTTCGTCCGTCATCCACAATTACTTGAGTATGCTCTAAAAGCTAAAGTTATCATCCGATTGCCAGACAATTACTTGCGTACGTTTTAAAAGCTAAAGTTGTCATCTGATTATACCCACTATGTCTGTTCATGAGATGAAATTTTTGGTCTTGATCAGTCTCTTGTAAATGGGGGGTTGGATGGCAGAATGGTTAGCGGGTGCGTGCTGTATCACAAGGCCTGTCATTGAGTCAACTGGCTTGGTTTCGAATGCCCGGTTGTACGTGACAAAGAGTAGGTTCGCCTGTCCGAACTCGTGGGTTTTCTCCGGGTCCCCTGGTTTCCTCCCACTGCTAAAGACCCCTACGTGCTCTCTCTCTCTTTCTCTCTCTCTTGCAAATGCTTCCATCACCTTCGAAAGTACCAAAAATATGACAGTCGTTATGGATTGCTCGGACAAATCAGCTGCTGTGGTTGTATGGTCTGTTGCCTGGCAACCCATCTTTAAGCTTTATTTTTGGTAGCAGTCGGTTTGTGTTTGAGATGAAGCTGCCCATGTTTGAAATTTGCACTAAGCGATCTGATTTTCCAGTTTCCCAACTAGTGATGATTTCTTTCCATCCAAATTCCATGTTAATATTTGTAATATCCTCAAGACATTGAATTAAACTTTCCCTGATTTTTGATTGACAGTGAATCGATGTTTGAATGCTTGGCTTGTGACATGGCTGATCAATCATTAGCTTAATGATGCCTCAAAGCGAGGATGTTAGTGAAAATTAATTATGAATCATGATGTTTAATTTATCAAATATTACAAATGCTGTATCTGTCCTCTTGATCGGACTTGATTTCCCATTAATAGTAGTGTAAGATGCAGGGCCTACCATTGAATAGCATCTTGTCATTCGGATGGTGCGAAAAAAACCCGAGGTTCCATATTGACTCTGGTGTGCAGGCACATCTACACGTAAAGGAACCCTTCACAGTTGGAATTCAATAGCTGTTAAGGCAAAATTACGCTCATAGCAGACTGTATGACATATACCCATCTTCATTATCCTTTCAACTGTGAAAATTTGAGTGAAAATTAATGACGAACTTATATAAATTTGATCAGTGACTTTAATATTGTAATTAATTACAAACATGTGACAAATGAATTTCGATAGCCTGCTGGACTTTACTCAGTCCGTTTAGTTGATAAGATAAGTCGAAGCTTACATAATTTATATTGTACATGTATCTGATTAACCTCAAAGTTTTATAGTAACACCACGCATAATACCCAGAGGGGGCCCACAGTGTCGGTAGTCGAGCAGTAAGGGCACTTTGGGGCCGACATGTAGCGTTGCTTAGTCGTTTGGACGTTCCTTAAAAAAAAACCAAGATATACATTTTAACGCATTTTACACACGAACATAGGAAAAAAAGTAACTATATGATAATCAAGTATCGTGGCTTTGATATTGGGCTTGTAGGTGACCGTAGTAGTACTTGGGTTTCTTTTTATGTTTTTAAAGAATCCAGCGTACAAGTGAATTATTGAGATATAGGCATTAGTCCTGTAATGGTCTGGTTCTCTCTCCCTATAGTTGAGAACAGGGGTCATGAATAAGGATCCAGTTTGTACCCTATTTATCATCAAGATAGGTAGTAAATTAATAGAACTGGTAATATTCCTATTCTTCCACGATTTGACATCCTCTTTAATTTAAACACAACTTTTAAGTCTTAAGGGACTGTCAACACTGCAGACACAGTTGTTAGTCGTAAGAGCTTTCAACACATCAGGCATTAGACACAACTTTTAGTCTAAAGGCTGTCAACACATTCAACACAACAGTTTGTCTAAGGGCCGTAAACACTGTTATTAGTCATATGGGCTGTTGACACTGTATTAACTCGCAAGTCTCAACTTTTAAGATGTCACCAGTCAAATCTAGTAACAGGGACAGTGCTGGATTATGGTGTTGGGTGCTGCAGCCCACGGTCCTTAACCCCCTAGTGGCACATCAGAGATTTTCATCTGCTTCAAAACAAACTGAAATTTCGAAAATCTTAAACAGAAATTGCATGGTCCAATATATAAGTAGCACAATTTTTGTTTGGATTAGTTTAGATGATCTGTTTATAAGACATTCTTCTGATTGTCTTTCTTAACTTATAAATGACTTAATGAATATCTTATTATTAACTCTTCCTCTTTGTTCAATCTTCTAATTTTTTATTCTAATTCTTTTCTATTTATATTGTATCATTGGCCTTTCTATGGGATGTAGATAATGTTGGAAGTAGGCATTTTGGGGTATTCCCCTATTTTGATGGATTGGTAGATGGGTGGTCGAGTAGTCTAATGCGTGCGCTGTAGATAAAATCATAAGGTCTGTTATGGTGTCAAGCACAGTGGTTTCTATCTCATTCTTGTAGCCTCGTGTGCCAACTTCACGGTTTCCTCCCACCGCTAAAGACCCCTACGCGCAAGCATATTATTGAAATGAAGTTGAAAAATACATTAGTGTTAGTCCCAAAATGACCTAGTCTGTGTCATGTGAAAGTTAAACTCTCTCTTTCTCAACAAGGCTTCGCTGGTCTTCATCATTGAAATGATTTGCTTGATAAAGACTAGTTGATAATGACTAGAGAAGCCCAGTCGAAACATCGCCCAGTAATAAGCAGTAATTGTATTCCATAGAATTGTGACTTGTATACTCTAGTTCAATTACTAAATGCCATTGAAGCAATTTATCCGACAAGGGAGCCACAGTGGCTCAGTGAGTAAGACGCTGGCTTGCTAACCAGGATGGTCCGGGTTCAATTGTCAGTGGTGCAGGATGGAGTGCCTGGCAAGGACAATGTTAGCGTATACCCATCTTCATTATCCCAGTTGGTGCAGAAAAGTAGGACGTTAAACCCCATTTCATTTGAAATCAATTATCTACATCCTGTTAATGGTTCGTATTTAGTTTAGAGGGTGAGGGAATGGGGGGGGGGGGCATCTGTCTTTGTGTTTGTTTTAATATTTTATTTATTTACAGATTGAATATCACAGTGATTTTGAAAAATCTAAAACAAAATACACAGTGACACCAGATGATCCAGAAATAGCTCGTCATTTACAAAATCAAAAAATGGCCAGTGCGGTACTAACTCTCTCTTTAAACATTGATTTGGATTTGTTTGCATGTTAGATCAGATTAACCCATAACCCTTTCTTTCTTCAGACAATTAGTCAAACCTGTCACATTTCAAACCTGTTACTCTGAACCCTGGTTTTGTTTCCAAATCATGTATCATAAACAGTTTCAATTATAGTTCCTGGAGATTTTTTTAGCTCGGTTTCTCATTGTCAATGGTACTGGATAAAGGGCCTCGTTGTCTAGGGTACTGGATGAAGGGTCTCGTTGTCTAGGGTACTGGATGAAGGGTCTCGTTGTGAAGGGTACTGGATGGAGGGTCTAGTTGTCAAGGGTACTGGATGGGGAGGGTCTGTTTGTTCGTGGTACTGGATGGAGGGTCTGATTGTCAAGGGTACTGGATGGATGATCTGGCCGTCAAGAGTACTGGATGAAATGTCTGGCTGTCAAGGGTACTGGATTAGAAGAATGGTGTAGAAAAGTAGGATGTTAAACCCCCATTTCATTGATTAAGATACATGTACCTGTCTGCTACCTTATGTTTTAAAGTTTGGTTTAACGTTATGTTCTGTGTCACTATTGGTATTTAGTATTATTGTGTTGGTGTTCCTATGATTCATGGCATGACAATATTTTGGTACTATGCCATCTTTTAATGAAGTAGCAATGTTGTTATTAATAACAAACATCCACAATCCAATTTTTGCGTGGAGTTAAAACATACTATAGTATGGCCATCTACAAACTTATTGAATCTTATTACAAACCTTCACATTTCTCAGGGGGAGCCACGGTGGCTAAGTGAGTAAGATGCTGGCTCGCTAGCCTGGAGGTCGCGTGTTCAATCCTTGCATTGGCCCAGTATAGGATCAGAACAGTAGGATGTTAAACCCCCTTTCATTACATTTCATTTCACATTTCTCAAATATAACATTTGGAAACAAGTTGTTTGTTTTTATTAAGTAAGTTGAGTTTACAGATAGATAAACAATGGGAATTATTTAAGACCATTGTAAATACAAGTATTAAAGTTTAAACTATTAGAATTTATAAATTAATATTCTTATTCAGCAAGAGTAAAAGCTGATATATGATGATCAGGTTTTCAATTATTATGATTTAAAGCTGCTTAAACAGGCATGTTTGAGATAAATCTGCCTTAATTGTTATCTAAATTATTAATAAGACATTAATTAACATCACCAGATCATAAGCAACCCTCAATGCCATCAGATGGCTCTGATTTTAAGTAGATTAGAATGGTTCGTCTATTTAATGAATTAATTTTAAAATTGAGAAGCGAGGCCAAGAATCGAATGACTGGTACGGTGGTTACAATGAAAGTCCACATTATGACAAAACTAAAGCTATGGATAACTTTGTGTTATATATTTTTGATATATACATGTAGCGAGAACAGCCATCTTTTTATCTAAATCTTACATAATGCCCCTTTAAAAACAAGTTATTATAGTTTGTATAAACCCAATGTTACTTTAATATGAAAACTGTATAATTGGAGTAGAACTAAAATAGAAGAGACTTGTTGACATTTCCTTGATAGACAAGGTCTTTTAGCATTTAGAAATTGAGAGAGACATTACTGGCTGTTAACAAGTTGGAAAAGTGATTTAAATTCTAGAAAGATCTCTATGACTGTGTGTAATTAGGTTTAGGTCAATACATCCTTGCTTCTTTAGCCATTATTATATAACACATGGCTGTTGATCGTTATCAACGTCAGACATTTTTTTGTAAAACTAAAATGAAATGTTTTCAGTAATGTTTTAATGATTGTTGATGACAGATACATGTATAAACTAGACAGTCTATATCGGACTGGATTTTACCCAAACCTGAGTTGTCTGTCTGTTAGGACTGTGTTTAGAGATTTTCAAAATGATAACATGTGTCATTAGGTGTGATAGAAAGTAAGCATACTCTGCATCATGTACAAGACCTGTCAGCGATATGAACTCTTCCCCCCCCCCCCTTCCTCTTTCCATGTTGTGGTGTAAAAAAAGTACTCTTGTTTCCTCCCACTCATAAAAACCCCTGCAATCTCCCTGGTGTCTTTCATTTAATCTAGTAGGCTACAGATGTGTCTTTTATTAAAGTGATAATTTCATATTTTCTAAGAAAGTCAAAACATAATTATTTCTATGTCTTTTGCCCAATAGGTTGTCAACTCACTATTATACGATCATAGGTGTCATTCTCACACTTAAAACTCATTTGCACCGGAAATAATAACACAATTACCTCCCAATTGCCTCCCTTGTTTTCTATTCTCCACCATGGAATAGCTATCTTCAAACGTTTGAATTTAAAGTTGAAAATGATGTTTTTGCCAATTTCTCAACTGGCAATAGTGAATTATAGGATTATTCTTTAACAAGGTAGGACAGTTTATAGAAACCATCTATTTTAGGGCTTTATTTTAACAAATTTTAAAAATATAACTTAAAAATATGAAATTGCAACTTTAAAGACATATCATGTACTAATAAATTAGTGCTGAAACCTCTTTTTCCAGGGGCGGTATTTATAAAAATTCTAAGAGTTGGAACCAACTCTTAACTGTCAAAAATTACTCCTAACTTTGTAGATTTTCCTAAGACCTATTTATAAAACATTTTACTTTAAGAATTACTCCTAACTATGACACATATTTAGGAGTCCTCCTGTAGCACTCCTAACTTGTTAAAAGTACTCTTATCTTGGTTAACATGGCCGTCCGTGTACGCCGCCTAAGAGAGTTTAAAACAAGAAGAGATTTCTTAGTGGAGTACAACAATGACGAGTTGATAAGGAGATATCGAATGGACATGGGTGGGATTCTTTTTGTGACAGATTTAGTTCGGCATCTACTTACGAGTCCTACTAAACGAAATTTCTCAATTGACGCTGAGATGAAGTTCACCATTACGCTTCGTTTCCTAGCTACTGGTAAAATGCAACTGTGTAGTGGTGACGATTTCGGCATCAGTCAACCTACAGTGAGTAGAGTGATTGCATGACATCAACACTGAGCTATAAATAACTTCAGGGAATCCCCGGATTTCCCATGGTTACATCGCTAAGAGTTTGGTTAGGACCCAAGTCTTACATTTAGTTCAAAGTAACTCTAAGACCCTTTATAAATATTTCTAAAGAGTAACTTTTAACTAAATGTTGTTTTAGGAAGTCTTAGAGTAAAAGTTATGAAAACTCTAAGAATTTTTATAAATACGGCCCCAGGTCTGTAAATATTAGTCTCAAAATGACCAGGCCCCGAGTCTACAAAGCATTCTCAGACTTAAGTTGAGAATTTACTCGAGATTGTTCGTCTTATTTTAACTATAAAATAGCCCTTTATAAAACTTTTATTTTAATGTATCAAATACATCAATAAGAAGAAACTATATTCAAAGTCTTGTGTTTTTTGGATCAAAGATATTTTTCATAAACAGTGATTGAAATTTGAGTAAATTCCAGTCTGACAAGGAGGAGGGTCGCCTTTCCAACCTCGCAGGTTTTCTCCGGATTGTCTGGTTTTTTCCCCACTGCTAAAGACCCCTACATGCAAGCGAATTATTGAAATAAAATTGAACCAGATGTCAGTCTCAAAATGACCTAGTTTGTGTCGAGTGGACGTTAAACCCCATTTCTCTCTCTCTCTCTTTTTCTCTCACTGCTAAAGACCCCTACACGCGAGCAAATTATTGAAATAAAATTGAACCATATGTTAGTCCCGAAATGAACTAGTTTGTGTCTAATGGACAGTAAACCCCATTTCACTCTCTCCCGCTTTGTGAAGGTGGGGCCCAATTAGTATTGAATGAATGTTAAACCTCCTTTCCCCCCTCTCTCCATGTGAATATATGAAACAATGTTAAACCTCATTTCTCCCCCCACCCTCTCTCCATGTGATTTCCCGATGTGGTTTCCCTTTGTCAGTGGTGCAGAACGGAGGGCCTGACAAGGACAGCTGTCTAGTCTTTCGGATGAGACAAAAAACTGAGGTCCCGTGTATACATTGGAATGCACGTAAAAGATCCCTTGGCAGTTGGAATTCGATATAAGAGTAGGCAATAGTGCCCCTGCCCGGGCAGAATTTCCCTCATAGCACACTGCATGATGTATGCCCGTCCTCATTAGCCCAGTAGAGGAGCAGAACAGTAGGACGTTAAAACCCCATTTCATTTCATTTCTCTCTATGTGAATATATGAATCAAATGTTAAATACGTAGACCAAAAAACGTGATATACCTAGTTTTTATAGTAAGTAAATAATGGAGGAATGAATATTTGATACAATATAAACATGTTGGGAGATGGGTTTTATATGATATTTAATACAGTATGATATATTGTATAAACATCTATATCTGCATCTTTTGGCAGGTTGGATTGCTGAATGGATAACGTGTGCGTGTTGTGTCATAAGGTCTGTCATTGAGTCAAAGGATGTGGTTTCGATTCCCCGTTTGGACATGACAAGGAGTAGGGTCGCCTGTCCAACCTCGTAGGTTTTCTTTGGGTCCTCCGGTTTCCTCCCACTGATAAAGACCCCTACGCGCAAGCGAATTATTGAAATAAAATTAAACCATATGTTAGTCCCGAAATGACCTAGTTTGGGTCGAGTGGACATTAAAACCCATTTCTCTCTTTCTCTGTATCATAAGGTCTGTCACTGAGTCAAATGGTGTGGTTTTGATTCCCCAGTTGTACGTGACAAGGAGTAGGATCGCCTGTCAAACCACGTACTATATGTGTTTCCGAAAAAGTCAGTCTAATGCATATGTAATTGGACCATTTCCTCGTATGTGTTTCGAAGAGTGAGAAAGCGTGCACACAGTATTAAAGCTACATAAAGAACAATATGTTAGTCTCAAAAAGACCTAGCTCCATTTTTGTTTCTATCTCAGTGATAAATGATATCAAACAGTATGATAGTGATAGGTAGACAAAACTTGGCTAATCTAAATGAAGTCAAATACAGAAATTTAAGAATTGTTCTCCAC